ATGATTATGGCTTGTATCTTGACATTATGTATCATTTAGTATGACATCATTTTCTTTGTGTTGTTTTCCTGTCAACATAATTGTTTACCAAATAAACAATTATTTGTAACAGAGTCACTGTCTCTGCTAGGGGTCAAACATATGGGCCTACAGATTACCAGTACATGTACAGTGCTCTACCAATAAATCAGCTCAATGAAAATAAAATCTTACTAAGTCAGAGGCAATTAGATGGTTCACTATACAACGACATTCTCCCCATCATTGTTCTCAACTTGTTCTTCAGTCTTTTAGAGTGCAGCTATATTTGTGACAGCAAAGCTAAGCAGAAAATTGTACTTAATACTTATGTCACTTGGTATGTGCGAATGTACCCAAGTTCATTTTCTCAAGTGACTCCGTAGCCACTAGTAGTCAAACCTGAGATTTGAGGTTATTAGTCAATGCTCGGCACATTGAGCTTTTGGGAAAATCCCATTTGCTTACAAGTCAGTAATATACTATAATAAACCCAAAGTTTGAAGATAACAATGGGGTTTGTACCTCCTTAGGGGTCTCAGGAGGGATAACTGACTTATTATATTGTATTATCTTAAAAAATCAAAATGCATAGTAAAAGTCAGGTCTTGAAGAGCCTGAAAAGGTAAAAGTGTTTCAGGGTTGGAATCTTCCAATTTTAGTTTTGTTTAATTTTATCAACCACGATGAAAGTCAATTTGAACCTTTTTATAGTTAAATAGGTCTTTTCCATCCTCCCCCATTTACTTTTGTCATTGAATATAAGAGCAAATTAAACGTACTGTACCAATACATAGTAAACTAATGTCTGTGCATGTTTACATCCTGATGTATCTAATAAAATCTATTTGTGTATTCCACTACAGTGCATACATACATATTCTATATGGTCATTGATGTGTGTCCCTTTGTGACAGATGAGAGGACAATAGTCATTCATGTCTTAAGCATGTGGCATGTCATACATCATTCTCTGTTTATCATCCTTGAGAAGTATGTACCAAAAGTGTATTGCTTGTTATTTTGTGGAATTTCATTTCTATAGTAATGTCCATGGCCAAAAACATGGACTTAACTATAGAAATGAAAACAATATAGAGTACAAGTCATTTCCAACATCAACGATCTATTTTGGTTGTAAACCATTCATGTTTTATGGCCAGCATAGCCTTTTTAGGAGGGTATTGACTTTTGTGGGGTGGATTAATGCATTGTTTGTTATGCCATTCACCACATGACTCAGTGTCTGCTCATACCATATATCCTGCAGAATATTACACATGTTTATGGTCGATGATCCATGAGGGGCCATAACTCGGAACAGAATTAGTCAGGGACTGCATCTACAATACAATGCCCATGTGAAAGAGTCAGGTCAGGGGTCAGGTCAGGTCATGTACAGACTGTACATTAGCTGTAGGACCAGGTCATGTCCCAAGGTCAGGTCAGGTCATGTACAGACTGTACATTAGCTTTATATAGGATATGACCAAGTCATGTCCCAAGGTCAGGTCATGGGTCAGGTCATGTACAGATTAGGCCAAGTCAGGTCATTTGCTACAATGTAGGTCAGATGATCAAGTACAGACTGAACTGGGGTCAGGTCATGCATCAGTGTTGGGTTAGATATGGTTAGATATATGTACCAGGGTCAGGTCATGTACAGATTATAC